CAACTGAGAACATCCAAGCCTATACAGAATTTTTGTAAGAGTTTGTTTTGGCCATACTGATGACATTCCCAGGAAGCAGGATCTCAAATGCTCTGAAGAATGACAGTTTTGCAATTTATTATATCTTCAGAATTAAGGAAGGGACATAAGGAAGATTACATGAAAGTGGAAGAAAGCCAGGTACTGACTCAATAAGATTCTGTGCTCCCTGGAGGGTGATTACATTTCCCAGGGGTCTGAAAAAGAGGCTTCCTCTGGCATTTCAAAGGTGTGTTAACCTAGCTGTGCAAGACAATGGACAGGGCTTAAGGCAAAGATAAATATTTATCGAAGAAGTTGTATATGCCTGGGAATTGATCATAAAACTACTTAAAACAAAGAGGCATATAATGTTTTGGAAAGTATTTGCTCCAGGTAAAGTGGTACATTTAGTAGATACAATAAGATCAAAGAAGTCACTCAAAGGACTAGAACACTATGCTATAAATAAATGTCAAAGGTTATGTATAAAAATTGATAAAAATACAAAAAATGCTAAAATTAGTCAAAATGATAGTAATAAAAAATATGAAATAAGATACTCTTTTGTGTATTTATCTCCAAGAGAGTTAAAAACAACTGATACTTTTTACATTAAGTGTATCAGAACAAACAATAATATACAGTTTTTCTGGGAATCAATTTAACATTATGTTTTAAGGAGCCTTACAAGTGTTTGTATACTTTTTCTCAGCTATTCAAATTTTAAGAATGTGCTGAAAGCATAATAAGATACTTTGGATGGCTGGGGTAGGGGGAAAACACAGGCAACTGCAATTGAAAAACAATAAAACAATTAAAGAAAAGATACTTTGGAGAAGATTTTCATTGTCCTGTTCATTTTAAAATGAAGGAAAAGGCAGCTAGTCATACATTAAATGCAGGCAGCCTTCTGGCAAGGTACCATGTTGTGCCAACTAGAAACATGTCCTTGCTCAGCATGGGTAACTGCTCAGCAGTTACCACAGCACTGTGCAAAGTGAGGCCAACCTAAATTAAATAACTGGCTGGAAACTGGCTGATGGAACAGAGGCTGCTTGTACATAACTGAGTCCCCGATAACAGTGTGGATCACAAAGGAGAGTGACTGTCACATGGTAGACATTTGCATTTAAATGTATCCAGACATTAAAATGAGGACATTCCCGATTAAGGCAAGGGCAAATCACTTTATATAGGTTTTTATGGAAAAAGAAGTTTACAACATTATGATAACTTTGTAAAGTGCTAGGATTAAAGAAAAGTAAGATTTGTTCTTTATGTACTAATTTTCTATGATGACAAATTATTAATTTTATGAGCAAGAAAACAAACAAAAACTGCATATTGCTTTTTAAAAAGATTTTATTTATTTATTTTTAGAGAGAGAACAAGGAAGAGAAACATCTATTGGTTGCCTGTCACACATCCCCAACCCGGGACCTCTTTTTGTTGTTGCGGACAACAAAGGCATATGCCCTGACTGGGAATTGAACAGGAGACTTTTCAGTTTGCAGGCCAGTGCTCAGTCCACTGAGCTACAACAGCTAGGGCAAAAAAAATTGTCGCGTATTTCTAAGATTATCCAGATCCCATCATTTAAAGTTAAAGGATTTTATTTAATAACATTAGAATTTAAATATGAAAGTAGAAAGAAACAGGGGTTCAAAACTGCTCCATAGTAGTATTGAATTGGATGGTCAAGCAGGCTTCCTCTAATTCAGGCTGCTATTCTTTTTCTCTTTAAAAACACTGTGCTTCTGAATAAGTTGAGATTCTTCAGTGGTACTTAAAGCCAGACTTATCTGTTTGTTAGGAATTGGGGTGGGAGCAACTCCTACCTTAACTGGGGTAGCACACACAGAATTTGACTTAGCTCATGGGTGTCCCTAATTAGGCCATGGAATTAGAATTCTTGATTTTCAAAATGGCTGCCGCCACAGTCTGGTCATGACAAAAATGCTTGATCAGGGTATAGGAAGAATGGATGACTCTCTGTAGACTGGTTCTACCATTGTCAGTGACAGCAAATCTTCATTCAGTAGCATCTACTTCTGCAGGGCTTGTAGTGTATTTACTCAGGTTCACTTTTTTTCCTCATTGTTTACTAAGTCTCCAACAGCAGTTGACCTCTCCCTGTCATTTGCTGTTCTGTCCCTTCCATCTCCTTTGATCCAAATCAACAACTGTCTTTTTAAAGTTCACACAGTTATAGTATACATTGCAGAATTACAAAGTGTTGTTTCTCCACCTAATATACTCTTTTATTTCACTAATGTCTTTTTATACCAATTGATTTAATCTTTCATAAATATATAGCATATTCGTATTTTAATTGTCATAGTTTGATGTCATACTTTATATTTAAAAGTCTTATCTGCTTAGACAAGTGGTAACTTGTCTGCTTACTTTCAAATATTACATATTGAATCTTGAAACAGCTTGTCAGCATTTTCTTTGCTACCAGTAAGATCTAAGACAAAATTATATCTTGTATAAGCTGCTACAATGAATTTCTTTTTTCCACAATTGAAATCCTCTCTCTTCCAACACAAGCCAATGATCTTTTATAAATATGATCACATCATGTTACTGCCTTGGTAAAATAGCCCAAGAATCCATCATACTTGTGCAAAAATTTAAACTTTTTACCAGAGGATACAAGATCTCCTGTGACACTTCCTGTCTCCCCCTTCCAAAGTCTCCAACCACTTTTCAGTCCTTCTCCTGCCATATTGACCTTGTAGGTGTTTGTTGAATTTCTAAGCACATCCTTACCTCAGGGCCTTTGCACATACTGTTCCTCTGCTGGGGATGCTCTTTCCCCAGACCTGTGTCTCACTCATTTCATCACTTCATTTAGTCTCTCTTCTAATAATACCTACTTTGAAAGACATTGTTTTACCACTTGTCTAAGTTAGCTTCATCCCAAATAACCTTGCATCATGAACCACAATCTAGTTTTCTCATATCTTCTGTTAATTTTGAAATTATTATTTACTTCCATGTTTCTATTTGTGGTATATTTCTACTTCTAGTTCTGATTTGGCTGAGCAGTGGCTATTGTTACTAGAGACCCTATTGTTACAATAGCTCTATTGTTACTAGAGCTATTTCCTGGTCATCGTCTTTCCCAAAACAGTATCAGCACAAGTTTGTTGGGAGGACTCAGGCACTCTAGCACTTTTATTGTGAAGCTATAGTGAATAAGAAGGAAACTAAGTTATTAATCTCTTCCTCCCACCTGTGACATTTTACTCATTTCTTTTATTGTCCAAATCCGGCTGGATAGTATTACCAAAAAAGTTCTATTAATGCAGTCTATAAGGGTTAAATTCCAGGTGGGCGAAGCAAGATAGAGATGAAAAGACATGTAAAGTGACAAAGAGAGAATCACCAGCACAACTATATTATCTACATATTCACAATGTTCCTGGAGCTATTTATTATTGTTTTGACTAAAAATGTAAATCACAAGGCTCAGCACTAGTAAATTACAAGGTATATGAAGGTCAACTATTCTTCCACTGGTTTTCCAGACCCCAAAACTTTCCTATTATACCATTCACTATTTTATATCACAGGATGTAAATAAGAGAAATGAATATTTCTCCCAAGTAAAAAAAATATTAAGACACTCAGGAATAATTTAAAATAAATAATGAATCCCATTACTTTACTGTTCTTTGGGAGATATGCTTCTCTGATGATATTGGAGAGTAGGAAAAAATTATGTCCTCAATGAGCTTAGGATGCACAAGAGAATACAATGACAGGTTGTTTATATTCTTAATGACTTTCTGCTAGAAATAATTGAACCATAGGGATTTGGTCTCTATATAACAATTCTGTTGTAAACACTTCAGATTCTTTATATCCATGCTGTCATTGGGAAATCATTCTTTTTTCTCAGGTAAGATTAGTTATTGTAAAATACATTTTGGAATTTAGAAACATTTTATTGAATAAAATAAAATTATGAGTGAAATATATTCTGATGAACCAGTAATTGTCTTGAATTAAATTCTACTATATCATAATATTCTCAGAGTAAAGGTATTTAAAATGTACAGTGGAATAGCATTTACAATGAGAAGAGAACTAGACCAAAGAGAACAGTCATCCTAACAACAACCATCGATTGACTCTGCTTGGGAAAACACTGGTCTAGGTGCTGCTGAGGTTATAGCTGCAGATTAGATACACTCCTTCTTCCTAAGAAACTCACACTTTGATGTGGATGCATTTTTAGACAGTCTGGATTTTCCATCAAAAATTATAGTAGCTACAACTTATGAAGTACTTACATGTCAGACATATTTTTAAAGTTTTTACCTTTACTCTCTGACATGAAGGAAGTTGTTATTAGTAAGCAAACTTTATATATGAGAAATTGTAGGCAAAGAGAGGTAAATGACTCGTCCAAGCTTCACTGGGAATTAGAGGAAAATTGACATGCATTGCAGGGTGAGGAAACAACTTGAAAACAAATGAGTTTAGAGGGCAGGTAGACAGATTCTATAGAATTGTGTGCCATATATCATCAGTTCCATAGGCATAAGTCCATTCAGCAGTGAAAAGCAGATGAGTTTCAATAATGATGCATTAGATATTACAAAAAAGGTAGATAGAAAAGAATGGGATTACAGTTGTAAAGAAAAGCAGTGCTTAAAGATATGTAAGGAAATTGTAAGTGAACAAATGTGATGAGTTGCAGAAAAGATAAAGCATTTTCAATTATGAATAAATCTGCAGTAAAGCATTTAACAATATGACTGCCATTATATAAAGAAACTCTAAATTGTTTTATATATTTAAAATATCTATTGCATTGTCACTAGGCTGCTTCTTTATACCACATGCATTTGCAAGTTTGAGAGAAGAGGAGGAAGTATCAGAGGATGTGATGGGGATAATGGATGAATGGCAAAAAGCATTTCTGTTTCCTTATTTTAGACCACCTTTGAAGCCAAGCAAACACAATGTCAAGGAAGAACTCCACAGTGGTGACTGAGTTCATTCTCCTGGGTCTGACAGATAGAGCAGAGCTGCAGCCTGTCCTTTTTGTGGTGTTCCTGGTCATCTACCTGATCACAGTGGTAGGCAACGTGAGCATGATCTTGCTAATCAGGAGTGACTCAAGACTTCACACTCCAATGTACTTCTTCCTCAGCCACCTCTCCTTCCTAGATCTCTGCTATGCCACCAATGTCACTCCTCAGATGCTGGTTAATTTCTTATCCAAGAGAAAAACGATTTCTTTCATTGGTTGCTTTATACAATTCCACTTTTTCATTGCCTTGGTGATCACAGATTATTATATGCTTACAGTGATGGCTTATGACCGCTACATGGCCATCTGCAAACCCTTGTTATATGGTAGCAAAATGTCTAGAAGGGTCTGCATGTCCCTTGTTGTGATTACTTATACTTATGGCTTTGCAAATGGTCTGGTCCAGACCATCCTGATGCTTCGACTCTCCTTCTGTGGACCCAATGAGATCAACCACTTCTACTGTGCGGACCCACCTCTGTTAGTCCTTGCCTGCTCAGATACTTCTGTCAAAGAAATGGCCATGTTCGTGGTGGCTGGTTCCAACCTCACCTGCTCTCTCACCATGATTCTCTTCTCCTACATTTTCATCTTCATGGCCATTTTGCGTATTCGCTCTGCTGAGGGGAGGCGCAAGGCCTTCTCCACCTGTGGGTCCCACCTGACAGCTGTCACTGTCTTTTATGGGACACTGTTCTGCATGTATCTGAGGCCCCCTTCAGAAACATCTGTAGAGCAGGGTAAAATTGTAGCTGTGTTTTATATCTTTGTGAGTCCTATGTTAAATCCTTTGATCTATAGCCTGAGGAACAAAGATGTTAAAGAAGCAATTAGGAAAGTTATCAAAAATAAATTGTTTGCTAAGTAAAGTAAACATTTTGCTCATAAGTGTGCAATATATCCTATTGTCTGACCAAGTAAGGAACACTTTCAATGAACTAATTGGTCTTTCACAAAATTAGCATATGGAACTTGGAAGGATGTGTCAAATTATTTGCTAGCATTTACACAACCATGTTAGTAAATAATAATAATAATAATAGTGCATAGAAATTCAAAGACAATACCAGAAGGCATTGTTATGGCTCTGTAAAGTCAATAAAGAACAGGTAATACCACCTATGATCTCTCACTGGTACACAGTTATAAAAGGCAGAATTATCAAATGATGCCATGGCAATGAGTATTTGTTAGATTTTTAGAGTGGTTAGTAATTTTGAAACTACTTTCCAGAAACTTGTTAACCATGACAGATGAGATTTGTTTCCTTCTTCCCTTTATATTAATTACATTCCAAAGAAGATCTTTGGGTGTGTCAGACCTTTTACTCTAAGAATAAAATGCCCCATTTTCTTTAGAAGGTGTTTTTTTAAAATCAGCATATATTCCCATCGCAAAAGAGGTTTTGTGTTTTTATTTAAAAAATTTTATTATGTACTATTTCCAACATACAGTCAAAACTATAAAAATAATAGAAAGTCCTCCTGTGTAAGACTAACCTAACCAATCATTATTAAGTCTTCATACACTGACACTTTTGTTTCAATGTTTTGAGCCTTAGATATTCTAAAATTGAGTCTTTTCTGCCTGATTCTCTTCTTGTCCCCATTTTTTGCATTAAACTTTAATATGAAGTTCATATTTCTTACTCATGTTGAGTTTTGTTACTTGTTAGCATTTCTGGATTCACAGGATTATATTACTTTTAGATATAAAATGATATAAATAAAATCACTCCGTATATTTATTTTTATTTATTTATTATGTATATTTTGTGCAATTTATTTTAGTTTCACTATGCATTGTTATACTTATCCTCTCTGAACCGTGCATTAAACTTATTTATGTTGACTTAGCCTTCTCTTTCTTTTAGTTTTTATTTTATTTATTTATTTTTATTGTTCAAGTACAGTTGACTTGGCACTTTCTTAGATATACAGCATAGGGAAAAAGTAGGTTTACAGCTGTGAGTACATGGAACAGTGTTGATTAAGCTGTTATAATCATCATAACCTGTATGTCTTTTTCCCTATGAACAACTGGAAACCTATTCTTGCCCTACTTTATAGCCTATGTCAATATATACACATGCCACAATATATTTATCTATTCTACTATTTTGGGGCAGTTACATATTTCCAGTTCATGATATGAAAAACCAACAATAAATTTTTTAGTGAAATTCTGAGTGTATTCCTGTTCAGGAGATCCTCTCATGTACATATCTAACATAGTTTCTAAGTCAGGAGACATGAGCTTTTGATAGATGTAGCCTACTGATAATTACTTTATCAATTTACACTCCTGCAAATAACATGTGTAACAATAGAGTCCCCATTCCTCCACATTCTTGTCACCACAATATATTGTCAAAGTTTTAAAATATCTTCCAATTTGATGGTGAAAAATGTATTCTCATTTCCTAATTATGTTTTTGAATCACAGTTACAGGAGAAGTTAAGTATTTTTAAATGTGTGATGTTAACTGAAGGTTTTTCTTTGTTTTAGTTGTATGTCCATATTCTTTGTTCACATTTCAGCTGTGTTATTTCATATTTATATTCTATATGTGCAGTTACTCCTTCTGTATTCTGTGCTAGGTACTAATCTTTTAATGATCTATGCAATGCACATATCTTCAACCTGCTTGTAGTTTGAATTTTATTTTTATGCATGATATATTTGGTGGTGCAAATAAATTAAGTTTTTTATTTCAGTGTTCCTTTTTAAAATGCATTTATCTTTTAATGGCTGTGTTTTGAATGTTTGGTCTAAACAATTCTTCCCTGTTATAAAGACATCCCATCTCTTCTTTATTTTTTAAAGCTTTGCTTTTGCATACTTATGTCTTTATTTTTCCTGCTATCATAAACATTCCAAAATACACTCTAATCCCCTTTTCCATAAAACCAATTAATTTTCAATTGTTTGAATACTCATACCTTTCTCATGAAATTTTTACTGCAAACTCTGTTATGTTTTGAGTTTTCATATGTATATCAGTCTGTTTCTGGGTTCTTCATCAACTCCTTCATTAATACAAACTACTTGATAGGAATAACTTTACCACCCCTCATCTAGAAGCCTGAAACATTAGAATATTTTCCTGAAAGATCTGTGACAGAAGATACTGCTGCGTGGGAAGTGGGGTCCTTGTGCTGTCACAAGGAGAGCATGTCAGGACACCCAAAGGGAGACTGAGGTGTGACAAGATTTATTCAGGTGGAAATAGAAGGCAGCCATGTCCCATCTCCACCTGTCATGTCATGGAAAAAGTGCAACTGTGTCTTCAGCAAGGCTCAAACAAAGGCCAGTGTCCAGAGTTTCTGCTTCATACTGAGGCTTAGTCATTTGGAGCCTGCAGGCAGTCTCTAAGCAGCCTTAGTCCCTATCTGGGTAGTTTTGCACTGTGTCCCTACTATGCTGTTGTACCCAGGCTCCTGCCTTAGTCTGCATTTGGAGTCCCCATGGTTGCCAGCTGTGTGGCTGCTCAGCTTGCATAGTTACTATGGAGAGAACACAAGGATGAATGGGACAAGTGTGGGTCAGAGACAAAGGAGGAATGAGAGGGTTTTTTTGTTAAGATGAGTTATATTATCTTGGATTGGGACTGACCTGGCATTTTTTCAAAATAAACAATCAAGTACCCAAGCTTTCATGGGCTTCTGATGGATTCACCTTCCAACCAATCCACAGTTTACTCAGGCTAGACTGATAGTCCTCTATGGTCAAGCAACTCTCCCTGCACCATTTTGACATCTATTGCATGTGTGCTTACCTCTCCCTGTTCCTACAACATTCTAGCACTGGATGGGGGAAAGGAGAGGTGTTCATATGTGGTGGGAAAATGCTGTGATCCCTGAAGTGTATGAAGCTGTGGCATTCTGGTGAAGCAAACAGGCTTATGCTCCCTGGCTGATTATGCCTAATAATGTTTGATTCCACTTGCTTCCTTCCTTATTAATAACTATTTAACTACCTATGGTAACAATACCTTTAAAATGAATAGAGGTATCCATGTATTCTCCCGAGTATATTTTTATCATTTCTTCAAAAGGCACATGAAACCATCTTAATTGATGCAGTATAGTGTCTGTGAAAATGAGAAATTAAAATATTGATTGTCTTTAGTCCTGTATTTACCCTGTTATTGTGGCAGTCACCCTCACAATTACTCCTTACTTATGGTTTCATCTATTTTGTAAGGTGTCATCAGTTCTGGGTACCCTGATTATTTTTTCTTTTCTATCCAAACTGGCCAATTCCCAAGCCAGAAGTGCCGTATCCTGAATAAGCGTTTACACGGGAAACAGCAGCAGAAGTGAGGTGCTGTTGCAAGTGGTACATTGCCTGCTGGGCAATTTGAACACCCATCCATATCATGGCATCCTCCCGGTCATCTTGGGCATTTCCTCCTAAGATACACAATATTCCCACTTGGAAAACTAAGATAACTGTGAGGATGAACTGAGGTAATGCTTGTAAAATGCTAAGCCTAGTGCCTAGCACATATTAAATGCTTACCACCTATAATAATTACCACTATTCTATTTTCTTTCTTGTGGTTTCTTAAACAAATTAGTCACCCATCCCATTTATCTCCTCATATTTTTTGAGAGATAAGGACATAAGCTCAATAAAATACAAAGTTACCTGTGAGGGGATAACCAAACTTTTTATTTTATTTTAATTTTATTTATTTATTTTTTAGAGAGAAAGAAAAGGAGGGAGAAAAAGTGGGAGAGAAACAACAGTGTGTGAGAGAAACATTGATTGGTTGCCTTTCACACACCCCAGCTGGGGGCCTGGTTCACAACCCAGGCATGTGCCCTGACTAGGAATCAAACTGGCGACCTTTCGGTTTTTTTATTCACAGAATTAAGTATACATGCACTTTTCTTAAGTCATTCAGCAAGTGTTTATCGATCAACTGTTATCTCCCAGGACCTGTGCTAGGTGTGAAGATTACACTTCTTGCTTATAAGGGTTTGCAGTTTGATGGTGGCAAGAGAAACACTAGCAGGTAGTTAAAACTGAGTACACTAGATAAGACAGGGGAAGAGTGCTACAATGCATGGAAGACAGAGGTCCAACCCAGTTCTGTGGAAGCAGTGAACGCATCTTGTGAGAAGAATTCAATCGGAGACTTTTCTAGTGCTAGCACCAACTTGATTCTGATAGACTAAGGAAAGCACTGACTGAAGGAAATCTAAGAGACTTTTTAAAATATTTATTTTTATTTTTACTTATTTTTATAGAGAGGGGAAGGGAGGGAGAAAGAGAGGGAGAGAAATGTCAATGTGTGGTTGGCTCTCACAGGCCCCAGTACCCAACTGGGGACCTGGCTCTCAACCCAGGCATGATGAAGGAAGGAAGGGTAAGCTGTGACTAGAGTGTGAGGAATGAGAGCCGCCTACAACTGAAAAAGCAGTCCACTTGGTATGTGAAGACAGGCGTTCAGTCCTACCTGGTCATTTACTAGCTACGAAGCACTGTATATGTGTCATTGCAATTATTTTGATGGAGCCTCAGTTTATTTAGCTCGAAGGCCAGGACAGAGTCACTATTTCTTAGGCTTATTTGGAGGAGCCTATAACATTACCTTCATGAAAGTTGTCTCATAGTAAGTGCTCACCAAAGTGTTTGCCAAAGAGCCTGTTTGTTTCATCCTCCTGTTCCTGGCAGGCTCTACTCAAGACAGCAGTGTTCATGAGAGGACATTGCTAAGAGTTCTGGAATTAAAAAGGAGACACGGTTTTAAAAAATTGGAAAATCCAACCCTCATCGAGATATAAGATGGTACCTTTGTGTGTGTCTTACACAGAGGTCTTAGGACAAATGGTGAATTTAAAATTATGGAAACTATGACTGAGGCATCTGATCCCAGAGTGTTTCAATTAAGCCCTAGAGGAACGATTCCCAATGCAACACTCATTGCTGATAGTTTTCAGTCCATCTGAGATTTGCTTTAGGAGCAGGCCTCTCCATGTTTGGGTATAAATATAGTTAGAGTTTACAGCTTAGAGAGGCAAGAAACTTCCTAAATTAGAGGCTGAGAAACCAGGTGCCTATCAGAATTAGAAGTAAGCCTTGCTGTTTTCACTGTTCTTAATTTGAGCTGGAAGGAAATTGTGTTAAAGTCTCAAACTCAGGCCCATAAGTCACCTGCATTTTACATCTTTAAAAATCAGATTTTTTTCTGACTTTGCAAATTAGTGTGCTAATAGTTTTGAGTCTTAGCTGTGAATGAGGACATGTTGTGGGTAAAGAAGCAGTGAGGGAAGGTCAGCTATAAAAAGACTTAAGTCTATTTTTTGCCACACTCTTTACAAGCCTGCTTTAAGTAATTTTTCCAAATACTTTAAATGATTTAATTTTATGTTATTACTCTTGACCATTGCATTTCCCATTGTACATCTTGGAAAATGATGATAAGACAGGGTAAGTACCTTGCAACTCTCATGGAATTCATAACTGATAAAGCCAGAATCAGAATCACTAAATGGAATTGGATTCCTGAAATTCTGACTTTCTAGATACTAAAGTATTGACTTGTTAGACATCATGTTACAGCAGCCCTGGCATAACCTAATTACATTTATTTATTTTAAAAAATTATGACTGAGCAAATGTTACCCAAGTTTACAGAATAATTTGGTGACAGAGCCAGATATAGGTTCCAGACTCATTCAGAACCTTTGCTTCATGGAATTCTACAAACACTGAGCAACAGCTTAATGAGTAGGTTAGTGTCCCCTTGTCATGAGCATCTGATCATAAGGGCTGCTCACTGATGAATTAGGCCTTGGCGTAGACCTGTGATGGGAGCAGACCTACTCAGGTTGCATGTGCCAGGTTAATACAAGACATTCTCCTGGCCCTTAGGTTCACCCCTCACTCCAGAACCTTATTGTGTGCTCTTCCTTTCCTTAGAGATGCTCTCTTGAGCTGGTATTATTTGTTGACTACTTGCCTCTAAACATTTTATAATATGAGTTTCAATCATTTTATCTTCTTAATTAATTGTAAGAACATTTCTGTGGTAGGGTGAAGGAGAAGAGGACAAAGAAGAAGAGCTGGAGGCAGCCCCATTCACTCTTATTCCTGTGAACAGAAAAGTTATTCTGAAAACAGATTAAGAGTAGGCAACCTTTTCCCCCTGTAATTCCCAATGGCATAGAATTTACATATGTCCCTGAGGACAAAATACAAATCTACTTCATTCAGGTGTTTTTCCTGTATCTCCTCATTTCTAGTAAAGGAGGAAATTTTATTTACCAAACTTTTAAATTAGTGATAGAGTTGTTTCTTAAACATGACAGGTTATTATGTTTATGTTATTCACCTTGCACATATTCCTTATCCCACTTTTACAAGCAAAAGTAGGAAAGTCATATTTTCCCCTGTGAATGTCTATGACAAATTTAACTTTGGTTTACCCTGTTGCCTCAAAATTTGTACCTGAAATTCTTTCTGTTTCAGCAGCAGAGTTTGAACCTCAACGACTTTCAGGGACAATAGGCTTCTTGAAATTTCTGTTGATCTTTCTGGACAATATTTTACAGACATGTTACTGGTGCAAAATAATCAAGAAAGGCAAATATTCTGCTCATTGCACACACATGCAAGGACATTTTCAGGCATGAGATGAAGCTTTTATAATTCATAGCTTTCTACTGTCCTTGAGCTGCTGAGTCATCTGCCTTCAAGTAGAGGCTCTCCTTGGCCATGAACTAGGAAATCATCAAGTTCCTTCTTCAGAAGATGTACACATTTCCCTTTGACCTAACACAGGGAGCCAGAGTAGCTGTGATTTTCTTTCTTTGTAAAAACACACTATTCATAAACTCTTTTTCCTTTCTCCACTTATCAGTACTTCTGCTCTACTTCAACTGGATGTTTCTGGATCCCTCACTATCACTGAGGTTGTGAGTCAAAACTATTTGAGATCTCATAGTCAGTCAGTGAAAGACATGCAGCAAATAGTCCTCCTGCAAGTGATGAACACCTTAATCCAATTTCTTGCCATGTTTTTAGAGATTTAAAACTTTGATATCCTGATCTTTTTCCCTCCAGTTTTCTATGTTCATGTAACCACCAACTATTCTCTCTCTGGGATTTCCTGGGTTCAGAAGAATATGAAAATATCTCCGAAGCCACCCTGCTGCTGTTGACAAGTCAATAAGCTGTTTTCAGATATTTTCTGCTAGATGCTTCTTGAAGAGTTGTGCCTTCTGATGGCTGCTATTCTCCAGTGAAGGTTATTTATATTTTTGTGTGGAAAACATAGTTAAAGATGAATGAAGTGAAAGATTTGCATTTTAGGAAACTGGGATTTTCTGCCCTCCTCTGCATAAACTCTACACACATCACTAGCAGTCCAAAAAAAGAGCACATTTATTATCTTAGCATTTGCTCTTTATCCTTCCTAGAACATCCTTCTTAAAATGACGTTAACTCTTGCTCTCTCCCTCCTTCAGTTTGTTGGTATCATAGTCACCTTTCCTTATGTTTCTTTGCTGATGCTATTTTTAAAAATTTGATCACTCTTTATTCAAACTTTATTTTATTTATTTTTCTCTATAATAGTGCCATTGAAACACTACAGTAATATCTGTGTCTGTCCACTAGAATGCAATGCCAGAAGGGCAGAGGTCTTTGAAGTTTTTGTTCATTTTGTATCTACAGTGCCTAATCAATAACAAGCTATATTGAGTATCCATAATTACTTGTTATGTGAACTTTTAATTTGATGTTCATAATAGTTTGAGAGGAGGGAGAATAGATGTTATAATCCTCCTTACATTGGAAAAATTAAGTAACCTATGGTTAAGAATAATATATGTTATGAATAACTATTATTAGTATGCTTTACAAATGTTCATTAAGTACTTACTATTCTAAATAAAGGAGATATATTTGTCACTGTTTTTTCTAAATTGTTTACTAAAGCAAGTTTTAGTGACATTTTAAAATTAGGCAAGCATTGGGCAGGTTTAAAATGTTTAAGTATGACTGAAAGAGAAAAAAATTAGAGCAACTTGAGAGAAAGGAAGAGGAGATTCAGCACTGTTCGTGACATGCGAGAGAGGTAAAAAGCCATATAAATTGTAATGCTTTAGGTCAATACAAATTATGACTAATTACTATGTATGCAAAACTTATTTCTTTTCTTTGTCAGCACACTTAGCATTGCTGCAGACCATCCTCAAAATACTGTGTGAGTATTCCTTTGATTTGACTCTTAGTTGTTTACTTATTTACCATCTGTTTATGGGACCACTGTGATGCTGCATTTCTGATTTGTGATTCTGGAAACATGTGCATTTGAATTTTCTGGATAATTCTTAAATATGAAGGCTTGAATGTCTCACAGTAGACTTTCTGAAACAAACTTTCTTTAATTTGCTTGACAAACAAGTTTTTCAAGTAATTGCTTAAAAAGGACTTAATTCTCCCGAGGATACACCATCATGGAGAGCATAGGGATGGATATAGAGAAGAGTAAAACATTGCACACAATTCATTCTTTCATGCTCATCCTTTTTCTTTTCTTTTTGAGTCCACTATATAAATATGTGTTTAGAAGCCAAAAGTGAACTAGACTTTGTCCCTAGCCATGAAGAACTAACATATGAGTAGAAAGTAGATGTATTAAGGTCACATGATGTGCTACAAAATAAATTAGTGGTATGTAGAGTAGATTGGAAGGGGAAGGCAAAGGGATGAGTTCAAGGTTGTGTATGAGAGAAGTGGTATGAGAAATGTTTCATGAAAAACTGGCCTTTAAACTGGGCCTTATAGGATGAGTAGGGTTTGAGAGGCAAAAAGTAGTTCATGAAGATAAGGGGTATGTATGGCTATGTGGATATAAGTTATATATATTGATTTAAATATGGATTTTAGTATAGATATGTATAGGTATAGCTATAGATATACATGTAGATAAAAGAAATATAACAGTATAAAATTTAAAGGCAAAAATGTACATGGTTTATCAGAAGTACAAAGTTTGTTTATTGTTGTATTCATTTTGAAGGACATGGATTTTGGAGAAAACTCTCCAAAGAGAGTGTTATTGAAATGGTTATTGAAATGACCATGTTACTGGACATTTCAACAACCAGTAACATGATCTGTATCTTCCTGTCTGCCCTATTTCCATTTGTTTCAAGTTCAGGCACAGACTCTCAGAAAATGCCCATCACTAATGACAGTGAAATAACAGAATTCGTTCTCCTGGGGCTCACAGGTCGCCCTGAACTCCAGCCTCTCCTTTTTGTGCTGTTTCTGGTGGTGTACCTGGTCACTCTCTTGGGCAACCTGGGCATGATAGTGTTGATCAGACTGGACTCTCGCCTTCACACACCCATGTACTTCTTCCTCACTAACCTAGCCTTTGTTGACCTGTGCTATACCTCCAATGCCACCCCGAAGATGCTGACTAATTTCCTCTCAGAGAAGAAGAGCATCAGCTTTGCTGGCTGCTTTACTCAGTGTTACATTTTCATTGCACTCCTCCTCACTGAGTTTTACATGCTGGCGGCCATGGCCTATGACCGCTACATGGCCATATGCAACCCTCTGCGCTACAGTGTGAAAATGTCCAGGCGGGTGTGCATCTGCTTGGCCACATTTCCTTATGTCTATGGCTTCTCAGATGGCCTATTACAGGCAATCCTGACCTTCCGCTTGACCTTCTGTAGATCCAACATCATCAACCACTTCTACTGTGCTGACCCGCCACTCATTAAGCTTTCCTGCTCTGACACTTACATCAAAGAGCATGCCATGCTGATATCAGCAGGCTTTAATCTCTCCAGCTCCCTCACCATCATCCTGGTGTCCTATGCCTTCATCATTGCTGCCATCCTCAGGATCAAATCAGCAGAGGGAAGGCACAAAGCATTCTCCACCTGTGCTTCCCACATGATGGCTGATACCCTATTTTATGGGACACTCTTCTGTATGTATGTAAGACCACCAACAGATAAGACTGTTGAGGAATCCAAGATAATAGCCATCTTCTACACCTTTGTAAGTCCAGTGCTTAATCCATTGATCTACAGTTTGAGGAACAAAGATGTAAAGCGGGCATTGAAGAATGTCCTCAGACAAAATGTGGTCACGAAGATGACAACGCCTCCACTTTCCAATAAACCGTAACTCTAAACCTTTGGCTCAAATGTCTTTGCATCTTGATCATTAGTTTGATGTTCTCTATGGGTATATTTCAAGTAGCTCATGTGCGAGCTTCAGGTCTGGGGTAAAAGGGAGCTACATTTGCTAGTCTCCTCCCCTGCCCCTCAATGTGTGGTCCTTGGACTAGCAGCAACAGCATTACCTTGAAGGTTTTTAAAAAATGTGACATCTCATTCTGCAGTTCAGATCTACCACATCCAAATCTGTGCTTTAACCTCACCCTGGATGATTTGGAGACATGTGAGATTTGAGGGGCAGTGCTCTAAGTGGAACGTCTTTTCATGACCTGGAATACTGGTGTGCTCTTGTTGTTTATAGTAGTAGAAAGGAGATACATGATTTCAGCCCAGTGCCTTGAATTTATTCTGTTCTTACTGCCATCTGTCTTTAAGAAACACACCTTTCTGTACTTCTCCCCTGACTCGCTAAGCAAATCAAAACTACAGGTCGTAACAGTGGTTTATGTTTCTCCTGCATGTGCTTGTGTAATGATCGGTGTGGGAATGGGTAGAGGGAGGGCTTGAATGAGCATTCGTTCCCAGACATGCGTTTTTAAATCGAGTTTGAGGCCTCTGAGATATGAGATTTTACTTCCCTCCTCTGAATTGCAACACTGGACCCCTAAACTCTGGTCTAGGAAAGAATGAATGCTTCCTATTACACTTGGATTGGAAAATGGAGATTTTACTCTGCTTTACATCCCTGTGACTATTTTGTACTACTACTTTGTACTCTTAAAGTACATCAGAGGGAATGTAGTAAATGCTATTACAATGACCATGTATGATGCCAGGTAGGTAGTGAAGATATTGGGGGGAACACTGTAAAGTATATGATTATTTAACCATGATGCTGAACACCTGAAACCAATACAAAATAATATTGAAAGTAAAGTGTAATTGAAGAAAAATCTTAAAAAATTTAGATTTTGCTTATGGTCACTTGTTGTCTTATTTTCTAGTTTTTAAAAGTAAATTTTTGGATTATTGAGTTGAATATTGCTTGATTTCTCATATATATTTTATATATTTTAGTTAAACACTGCTTTACTTGAAAGCCACTAATATTTATATTTTACATCATTTAGTTTGCAATAGTTTCTTATCTATGCACTGACTTTTTAACTTATATGTTATTTAAAAAATAGTGCTTACCATATATTTGGGATTTAAAAGATATTTTTGTTATATATTTGTAATTTAATTTAATTGTCAGAGAACAGTAGCCTTATGATTTATTCTTGAAAATGTATTGACTAGCATTTTTTCAAGGTTTGTTGAGATGTAATTGACATATAACAAGGTGTAAGCTTAAAATGTATAAGTGATGATTTGATACATGTATTATATTATGAAATAACTGTCACAATAATGTTAGTTCACAAATCTATCATCTCATATAATAGTAATTGTTTTTTGTGGTGGTGAAAACATTTAAGATTCCCTGTTTTAGCACTTCTATCTATGTGAAACAGTATTCTTTAAAAAAAATTTTTACCCAAGGATGTATTCACTGATTCAGTATTCTTAGTTGGAGTTGCCATGCCATACATTAGATCTCCAAAACTTACCCATCCTCTAAGTCGAAGTTTGTACACTTTAATCAGTACATCCCTATTCCTGTAAGTCCCAGCCACTGCCAACCACCATTCAATTCTGTTTCTATGAGTTTAGCTTTTAAAGATTTCAAATAAATGTGAGATCACACAGTACTTGTCTTTCTGTTTCTTTCTAAAGTAGAATATAAAACTGCCTGATTATTAAAAGGGAGTGACATACTAAAATATGTTTGTGTCTGCAAGAATTAATACATAGGTTCCTTCCTCATCAACCTCATTGCCTATACTTTCAAAACAACTTGAGTTCTAATGATGTAAATCAACATTAAGTTCTAAACAGTTAAGAAACCAATTTCAAAGAGTATCAATAAATAAGGAATATTCTTATGTTACTATTTAGTTTTAAAGCACTAAAACCAAATATTCATGGGTACTTGAGCAGATATTATATGAAAATTGTTTGTGGGTACAGAATAATGGAAAGGTGATATGTAAAACTGTATAACAATAGTTGTTAATACTGTTGTAGGAACAAATTTTATTAAGTTCTTTTATAGAAAAGGAACATTCTAAATCAGAAATGTGTATACTCATTTCAGAAGAAAATCTGTTTTGAGAAAATGAAGTTAATATTAAAAATAATGGAGTTATAAACACATACAATATTATGTTCTTTGTTGAAATAATAAAGCACATTGTTTTATATTTAAGATAAATACACTAAAAATGTACCAAATATGTAGTGATTAAAAACCATCAAAATTAGAGTTTTGAATTTCTTTTGAGGACATAATCAGCTTTCATGAAAGGAAACCTTATAATAACATATTCTGAAAATAATTCATTTTCATATTCATGAAATATATTGTAATGCATCTCATTTTGTTTGTAAGAGCAGCTCAGTGATATTCAATATTGGTAACCAAGGAAGTGAAAGGGAAAAGTTATTCACCTGTTGATTATATTAATTATAAGTAAGATCTTGAGTGACTTCAGCTGCTGTGTTCCCTATCAACCATCATTTGTAAATAACTTTCTCATTCATTGTTTCCACAAGATTTTCACTTGATGTCAAGCCATGCATGAGGGGTTTTTGGCTTAGTCACTTTGCTTTTTTTATCCTGACCATTAACCCTCCTCCCCTTTAACAACTGTCAGTATGTTTTCTGTCTCTATGAATCTGTTTTTCTATTTTGTTTGTTTTGTTCACTACATTTCACATAGAAGTGAAATCATATGGTACTTGTCTTTCTCTTACTGGTTCATTTCACTTAGTATAATACTCTCTAGGTCCATCCATGACATCGAAAAAGGTACGATGTCCATCTTTTTTATGGCTGACTAGTATTCCATCATGTAAGTGTACCACAGCTTTTTTATCCACTCATCTACTGGGCAATTGGGTTGCTTGCTAATCTCGACTATTTTCAATAATGCCCCAATGAATGTAGGGGTGCATATGTTATTTTGAATAAGTGTTTTGTTTATTTCAGGTATATTCCCAGAAGTGAAATCACAAGTTGGGGGCAAGTAGAAGGTAAAAGGAGGATAAGTGATTGTTGGGGACCACTCTGTGTGATTTCCAAGACTGAAACCCCATGAAAGCAGGCTCTGAAAGGGGCTAGTAAGTTTCCCTGGAAAACCAGATAATGTAGGTGGCAGACATGACCTGACTAACCCTGAGGGTTTCTGTGGGAATCAGGCCTGATAAATACATTGTATCCTTTGAAGCTTGTTCTGTTTTGTATAGTGTGGGGGTGAGTTTGCCCTCAAGTCCCCCCTGCCCACCATGAATGAAAGTAAACACTACTAAGTCATGATCTGCTTGGGGAGGAAAGGTGGCCAGTTTCTCAGAGGAAAAGGGCCTGGAGATGGTCAGTTTCTTAGAGGAAAAAGGCCTTGAGCCCCCTCCTCCAGGAGCTCTTATTGGGTTGTAATACACAGGAATGAGTACAGGGTGGCAAGGATCAAACAGTAGATAACATTTCAAAGAAATCTGAGGGCTTAGTCTGAGTCAGAGTCTGTCAGGAAGGGGGTTTTGCAGAAACTTTAGGGTTTCCTGCTTGGACCCTTAACATATGAATGAAAGCACTCTTAGCAAAGCAAGTTTCACTAGATTCTTTAGGTATTCTTTCTTATGCCAGATTTTCCTGGATGGATCTGCTCTTGCAAGGCAAGGAGCTGTACCCCCTCCCCATCAGGTTTTCAGGCTTAAGTGGATTAGAGCCAGGAATGGCTTCTCCCAGAGGACATGGGGACTCGGGCTATGTCACACAGCTGGGGGGCAAGGGTCCATTGCATCCCCCCGAGTCCTTCCATGGAGGCCTCGGGGCTTCAAGTGATCGAGTCTGGGTTAGGTTGCCCCTTGCTGTGAGGAGTCTTACCCGTCTCTGACTTCTGACCAAGCTCTGGGGGCAGGGAGAGGAAACTGAGGCAGCATTGGCTACCAGAGACAAGCCTTTGTCTCCTGTGGCTCATGTTCTGGAGGTCAGTCACTCATCCTTAGCCATGGGAGGTAGTTACAATTCCTGAAACCAAGCAGAGCTGTCCCCAACAATATAGCCCTGCTGATATAAACTGGATATTTAAGTTCAAGACATAAGGAGTAAACTACTTGTCCCATGAAACACGTCTTTAACACCCTCTGGCGTCAGCATGACTAACAGGCCCTGACCTATGACAAACCTCTGTGTTCCTTCAATTATTATCTATAGGTAATATCTGTTTTTGTATGACTATAGCCTTTTTGACTTTGTTTGATGAATTATGAATGTATGCTGTGTATACCTACATATACCATTCCCAATAAAAGCCATTTGGGAAACAATCTCAGTGTGTTCTCTGCTAGAGGGAATTGCCATCCACTTTCCCATGGAAAGAGCAAGATTGTGCCTGGGATGACTTATTTCTCATCTGGTGATGGGAGGAACTCTGCCAGCCAGATTTCCTCCCACAGATGGTGATGGAGAGAGACTTGTTTTTGGGTGGTAAATACATAACACAATAATCAGATGAAGTATACATTTGTACACTTGACACCTAGAGAATCTTATTAACCAATGTCACCTCAATAAATTCAATAAAAATCAAAACAAATAGTAGTGTTATTTCAGAGAATTGCATTCAGGGACAACCAACAAAGAATACAATTTTATTTTTTGAGACTCTTCTTTTTCCATTAGGGAACTGTTGAGTTGAACTTTTCTTCATTGTACCAAGGTTTCTTATAAACACTCTTCTTAAAGGATGTTTCAGAACCTTCTTCCTCAGAGTGTACATGAATGGATTCAGCATGAACTCACAAAAACAAACAAACATAAAAACACAAACAAAGAACAACACAAAACACTGCCCCAATTTTCCCTTGCTCAACAGACTGCTCATTTTCTGGTCTGAGATACATTCA